AGTGACCACCCCCAGGCAGCTAACCGTGGAGTTACCTCTGCTCTTGAACTCACTTCTGGTGGGGTTCTAGTCACACCTGCAGATGTATATCAAGTGTCACCCCCTCTCTTGGTAGGGTTAGAGGCATCCCCTGGAGAGGGTGCTCAAAGTTCCCATTCCATCCCTTCCCCCCACTCCTCCCCACTCCCACAGGTCATTCTGTGACCTGCCTTCTTTTCCAGCCTGCCTGCCACAGACACCACCTTCTCCTTGAGGCTCCTCAGATCACCCTAGGAAAAGCGATCTCTTTCCACGCTCAACTTGTGAAGTGCGTGTGCACACGGGTGTGTTCTCTCCTACTAAATCAGTGCAATGACAGGAACTCAGCATCGGATCTGGGGTTAGAAAGCCTTGTGTGGATTCCAAACTGGTTAGCAAAGGGGAAGTCATTTAATCTTTCCGGGCCTTAGTTTCCTCATTGATAAAAACGCAGGCAAAAACTACGATTTCACAGGGTTGCCGTGAGGACTGATAGGTGCCCACACACCTCCTTAGTCCGGGGTCCTCCCAATGTCCTGTGGTCAAGGACTTTGTCTTCTTCAGTCACAGTGCTGCTCGTTCACTCTCCAAGCCTACTCCGTTCACGTCTTTTCATAGCACTGACTACCCCGATTGGGCTGTTTTTCAAGCCCCGTGATTTGAGCCCGTCTCCCCGCTGGCTGCAAGGACCTGGAGCGCAGAGCCGCGTCTCCTCCACACGCACTAGTCACTCCATCCCTCGGTGGGCACCTCTCTGGTCTTCCATGATGGCTTGTGCGTAGCCCTCTCACCTCTCCTCGCGCTGTGGGCAATCGTGAACATGTCTGTCTCATAAGAGTACGTCAGACGGTGTGCCATTTGAAGTTAAGTATCTCGGGGACCATGCGCAGTTCCGGCACACAACAAATAAAAGGAAAATGAATGGAGGAGCGAATGGGGATGGCCCGAGAGGCTCACTGCCTGCCTTCTCTTTGCTGCGGTGCACGCCTTCTTTTGGATTTTGTGGCTATGGCTACGTGCTACGTTCCTAATCTGTTTTCAAAGGGATGCATTCTTCTCCTCAACTGTGCTTTATTTCAGCTGGCAACAGGCAGCTCTTTGGTGAGATACCAAGAAAACCACCAAATTCTTTTCTCTTGGGTTACTTAGGAAAACATCGGTGTTTCCTCCAGGCCTCCAGCCGGCCACGCAGAGCCGGGCTTCTGACCGCCGCTGGTTCTGCCGGCTAATGGTGTGATAGTCCAGCCAACGGCCACAGAACTGATCATTTGTTGGCAGCTAAGTCAAACCCCTTCGTTGGCTCCTTTCCTTTCTTCTCAACACACGGTGGCTCTCCTCAGACAAGAAGGAGAAGAAAGGAAACCGAAATTCATCCCTTTATAACCAAATTAGTAACACTTAGAATTTGGTTGGGGAAATGGGAAAAAATAACCGCTAAGAGTTAGGGTTTTGATGGTAATAAGGGACCTACTGCTCCCTCTCTCCCATGACCGCAGATCCCCACCCACTCCTACAGTCTCCCCTTTGGTAAGCTCATCCTCTTGTAACAGTCCCGTCTTCTGCGGGGCTGACGCCCATACCGGAACCTCTAGCCCAACTGCTTGTTTGAAAGCCAGTTCTGAACCTCCAGCTTCCTCGTGAGCAACTTTCCATGGATACTGACATTTAAAAAAAAATTTTTTTTAACATTTGTTTTTTGAGAGACAGAGAGAGACATAGCCTGAGCGGGAGAGGGGCAGAGAAAGAGAGAGTCACAGACTCCAAAGCAGTCTCCAGGCCCCGAGCTGTCAGCACGGAGCCCAACGCGGGGCTCGAACTCACGAACCGCGAAATAATGACCAGAGCTCAAGTAGGACATTCAACCAACTGAGCCACCCAGGCGCCCCGGATACTGACATTTTAAATGCAAGGCATCCCAAGCAAAAACCTTCACACCCATACTCCTCATTAGGATGATCATTCCCTGCCTCCGGCTTTACTCAACAACCACTTGATGGTTTATGATGGAGTTCCACAGCTGCTATCTCTTGTGAACATCTCCCCCCATACTCCTAAATGTATTTCCCCAACCTCTTCCTTTTCCCATCACTGGAACCACCATCCCTTTGTTCACCAGCTCCAAAACTCCACTCTTCGTTGGCCTCAGCTCCTTCCTCCTGGCCTCCCCTCCAGCCCTTTGCCTTCTGCTTCCGTAGCATCTCTTGAAATTCTGTTTTATTCTCACCTCTCTGTTCCTAGTTCAGGTCACAGAACAGTCTCCCAACTGATGTCCTGGACCCCCACCTCTCTTCTTCCAGTTCCTCCTGTCCCTGGCCACCCGATTCAACCTCTTGAAGCACCACTCTGATCCCATCACCTTGCTCAGAGGGTCCAGTGGTGAGCAATTGTCTAGGGAGCCAAGAACCCATCAGACCCTGCCCTCCTTCTACTCCCCTCCCATATATTTTTTTAATATTTATTTATCTTTGAGAGAGAGAGAATGAGAGAGAGCAGGGGAGGGGCAGAGAGAGAGGGAGACACAGAATCAGAAAACGGGCTCCAGGCTCCGAGCTGTCAGCAGAGAGCCTGATGCGGACCTCGAACTCACAAGCCGTGAGCTCTGACTGAGCCACCCAGGTGCCCCTCCCCTCCCATATTTTGCATTCCAGGCAAACAGAACTCCTGTCGCAGTGCCTGCCCTGCGCTTTCCCACCATTGCCCTTGGTTCAGACTCTTCTCTGCCAGGCATACTCCCTCACGCCCTCCCTGTGCCTTTCCTGTTCCCCACCTTTGCTGGTTGGAGTCCTGCCTGTCACCTTTTAACACCCGACTTAAATACCACCTCCCCTGGGGACCTTTTTCTATTTCTAAAGAGATAAACTCTCTCCCTTCTCCACCTCTGTAGAGTATTTCTTTCGCGCTGTCTTAGGGCCATTGCATTCTCGTATGCTCCCACCTACAGGCAAACTGCCCGGAGGCCGAAAGGGCTCCTGTTCACCTTTGGTGCGTCCAGGTGACCTCTAAGAATCAGCGAGTGTGTGGACAAGTCTCCTTGCTTCTGTGTTCTTTCATTTCTCCACGTGACTGCTGATGCTTAAGGCATCTTCCAACTCCGACATTCTTCGAGTTTAAGCAACCATAAAGGTTGCTGCGCTGCCTAGCACTCTGCAGGCTCAACTGAATTGACTTCACAAAGTTCATAAAGTCAAATTTTACTTCTCAATTCGCTGTCAGGATAACACGTGGTAGCTGATGGCATTTAATCACCGTAAAGATTTGCACCAGGGACAGATTGTTTCATTAAGATTTGAAAACGTTGCAAATATGTGCTCACATTTGGGCTCTAGATTAAAAGTTGGTTTTTTTTTTTTTT